AGCGGTGCTCCCAAGAGGGAACTGTTGGACGGAGTGGTAGTAGAGACTTCTGGGAGGATTCTTCACACAGCATTGATTATTTCCTGGTTCGCCGTGATGATTTCACACTTGGAGGGACTGAGGATCAGTCTCAAGTCTTCTCCCTGTGTTTTCACCAGTTGTAGGTCCCCTACCAGGGACTCTTCAGTATCTGCCAGAGTGCCATCATCCAGGTACCAGATGTTGAGCTCACTGCGTAGGCTGGAAGTTAATTCTCTTATTGCCAAGCAGAAGAGAAGTGGAGCTAGTGGGTCACCCTGCTGAACACCTTCTGATGAGAGAATTTCATGTTCTACAAACAAAAGAATTGAGGGTTTGCTGTAGCCGGCTGAGATGAAGGGAAAAAGACTGGGGAAGCGATCCCAAACAGCTGGCAAGACAGCATCTCTCTTCACCATATTAAAGGCATTTCTAAAATCAAGTTTGACTACGGCCTTGTCTTCTGGTAGGTCCCTGATGTAGGCCCTTGCCGCATGAGCTGCAGCTTCACTGCCTTGAGAGACCCCAAAGCCCAGTTGGTATGGTTGGAGTAAACTGGCAGCTTCTAGGCGAATGTTTCTTACTGCTGCTTTGGCAACGAGACGGCGAAGAATGCTTCAAACCGCAATGGGTCTGATTCCCCCATCCTTCTTCTTCAACGCACACAGTGAGGCTCCAAAAAAGAAAGGCTTAATTTCTTCTGGGATTCGCCCAGCCAGGCAGTTGTTGACGAAAGTTGTTAACTCGGTGAGAAGAAGTGATGCAGATGCACCGAGTACTGGATTTACCATCTCTTTGAGGTGCTGAGGTCGAATTCCAGTGTAACCTCCTGCAGATCCTGCAGGAAATGACACAATCGCCTTATAGATTTCCGATTCTGGCAAAATTAATTGTTCAGTGATGGGGTCTTCCTCAGGGTTGTTGTTGATGGCTATGGTGTCCCTGGTTGGTGCTTGTCTCTTAGTGCTTGGGCTGTGGTCTCATCTTTGGGGGCTACAGTGTCGTCACTTGTAATAATTCTTATTGCTCTCACTGTGTTACCTTCTTCGATTTTTTTGCTAACCTGTGCGCAAATTATATATATATATATATATATATATATATATATATATATATATATATATATATATATATATATATATATATAAATATATATATATATATATATATATATATATATATATATATATACGTATATGTGTGTTAGTTACCATTTTGTCCTAGGCACATGTCGATTAGACACTAGGCCGTGTGTGTGTGTGTGTGTTTGTGTGTGTGTGTGTGTGGTTGTGTGTGTGTGTTTGTGTGTGGTGTGTGTGTGTGTGTGTGTGTGGTGTGTGTGTGTGTGTGTGTGTGTGTGTGTGTGTGTGTGTGTGAGTTTCTATATAAATATAATTTAACTTAATTTTGCAGAAGCTGCTCTAGGTCAGGCTCAGTTTAGTTAATATTATTTAACACCAATAAAATATTATCAATTATTCACTCTGATTTTTGTTGGGTTATTGCAACTGAATTTACACTCTGCTTGTTTAGTAAAACTATGATTGTTTTATTAGTAAAGACCGCAAGATCTTGCTTCGAACTACGACATACATAAGTAGGTTGGAAGACTGCTTTATTATTGCACTGAGTTGTATATGTTTTCTCTAGATAAGATGGTCTTGTTTACTGTTACACAGATGATGAATTAGACATTTGTACAAGACTTGGGTATCTTCATTGTGAAAACTTTTCCACAATAAAGATTCCCAAGTGTTGCATAAGTGTCTAAGTTATCATCCTGCCAGTTCTCTGAACTATTCATCTACACTCTTGCACAGTTCTACTTCGGTGTGTGTTCTTCTTTGCCCTCGTCACCTCGTCCTGGACATCGTCACTGCCCTTCTTCAACCTGGGAGCGAAGCCTCATCAAAACGCCTCCACGTCCTCCAGTGAGGCTCTGATTACTACCTCCAGCATGCCCCCTACCTCAAACACGTCCTCAGACTCACCCTCACATACCTCTAACTCTTCCTCGCTGAACGGGCTAGCTGGGGAAAGTCAAGATATGCTGTGCATCAACAGTCTTCGCAACGAAGCTGTGATACAAGCCAGCGTGGTCATGTCTATCGTCAACAGCTTCAAGGATGATTACGTAAGTGTTCCGCTTTCCCCTTACACGTCGAAGATCTTCAGTGCGTAATTCTCTTATAATTTAAGCGCTAAAATATCTTCGTTGCTCTAGTGAAGTCCAAGTGTAATGAACATACGGCGATCATGATTTTTTCTTGTTGACGGAAGTCCTCTTGGAGAGCGTGAGAAGGCTTTTCAGATGCTGTCCCAACTCTCCGAGTAGGTCCTAAGCATTCCTAGATGTGGTAAGACATATGTGCAACAGTTATGCATCTTCATTCCGAAACGTTTCGCCTACACAGTAGGCTTCTTCTGTTGAACACAGAGGCTGCGAAAGCAGTGGAAATGTAAAAATGATGTAATCAGTCCATTACCCTCGAAGTAGTTTTGAGGTGGTCAGTCCCTCAGACTGGAGAAGAGTTCAGTTCTATAGTCTGGAACAATGTGAACGTTTTGGAATAAAGATACCTAAATGTTGTACACGCATCTTACTTACCTACTTGTCTGTATTATATATCAATGTCACATTTGTATCCAACTCATACCCACTCATAAGAATATAAGAAAGAAAAAGCACTGTAGCAGGCCTACTGGCCCATGCTAGGCACGTCTAACTCACACCCACCCACATCCACACATATTTTTCTGGCCTATTTTTAAAGCTTCACAAGGTTTATGCTTCATCTCTGCTACCTGGGAGTTTGTTCCACTCATCTACAACTCCATTACACACCAGTGCTTTCCTACACCTTTTCAAAATACAAATTCGTTCATCTTGAATCCATTTGGGCGAGTCCTGTCCTGGTAAGATGAGTGGAACAAGCTCTCCAGGACAGTTATAGAGGCTGAAACGTTGTGTAGTTTTAAAAATAAGTTAGCTAAATACATGAGTGGGTGTGGGTGGGTGTGAGTTGGACCTGGCTAGCTTGTGCTACTAGGTCAGATGCCGTGCTCCTTCCTTAAGTGAATGTGACCTGACCTAACTAGGTTAGGGTATTGGCTTAAGCCGGTAGGAGACTTGGACCTGCCTCGCATGGGCCAGTAGGCCTGCTGCAGTGTTCCTTCTTTCTTGTGTTCTTATGTTTTATCTACTGCGGTGTTTATGTATATTATGAACAAAAAGGAGCCCAATACTGACCCTTGTGGAACACCACTTGTAACGGGTCCCTACTCAGATTTATCTCCATTCATGCAATCTCTCTATGGGTCAATCATGTCTCAATTCAGGAGATAATTTTCCCTCCTGTTCTGTGTGCTGCTACTATCTTTAACAATATTCTGTGTGTAATTCAGTCAGAAGAATTACTGAAGTCCAAATACACAATATCGTATTCATTATTATGAACTACCGCCTTGAACACCTTAGTGAAAAAAAAATTAGTAAATTCGTAAAGCAAGAAAGCTCCTTTGTTAAATCGTGCTGAGATTGAAAAAATAATACTGTATTTATTAATGCGACTTTGAACTGCACCTGCAGTTACTTATTCCATCAACTTTCTCACAATTGAGGTTAGGCTAACTGCTTTATAAAGTAAATGGCATCACATATGCCATTTTTCATTTATCTGGTATTGTCCTTGTTTGCAGTGATAAGCTTATTTGTAGTGATGTGCTGAAGGTTTACTAAGTTCCTTCTGACATTCCTTAAAACCCCTGAAAACAATACATGGAGGCCTGGTGAACTGATTGCCTTCAATCTACATGTCTGGGGATCGTGCCACTAGTAAATTTAATTGCATGATTTTTAATCGCATGATTTAATTTTATTTTTAACCTGTGCTGTTGTAACTTTCAACACTTTCTGTATCTCCCATTTCCAGGTGAGGGCAAAGTTATTCACATCCTGGGATGATATCAACTCCTCCTTCAACTCGAATCTAGACCAGCAATTCCTGAAGGTGTGTGATGCCAGTGATTGTTCCGAGGTGCTGCCTACCCTTGTTAAGATTCCCCATTCCTCTCCCAGTACCCTCCAGGAAGCACGAGAGGAGGTGGCCACAATGACGGGGATAATGCAGCAGTACCAAATTGCTTTGGAACAGCTTTTCCTAGACGAAACCCTCACCCATCGTCCCCCCAGCGAGAAATCCTTCCTGGAGGAAGTGGATAAGGTGTACCGCCTGCTTGAGGGAGTGACAAGAATATTGCTGAAGGGTGTGGAACATTGTGGGGTTGTGCCCGAATTTTCCACCATCAGCAATCTATCTAGGAAGATGTACATTAGAACTCGTAATATCAGGAAAAGCATGAGAGGTTTCGTTACTCTTCGTCAGTTCCTCTTTGGGCTCCAGAAGCTCGTGAAGGACTTCTCCTGAAGCAGTTACAGCGACAACATCAGTAGCAATAACAATACTGAAATTTAATATTTTTTTATCTTAAGAATAGATCAATACAAAAACAGACCTATACTGCCACCAATATACCTGCTGTGTCAATCCCACTACTGCCACCAATGTACCTGCTGTGTCAATCCCACCACTGCCACCAATGTACCTGCTGTGTCAGTCCCACCACTGCCACCAATGTACCTGCAGTAACAATCCCACCGCTGCCACCAATGTACCTGCAGTGACAATGCCACCTACCCACCATCACATCACAACGTTCTCTTCTCTCTCCTATGTCTTATAGTCTCTATATGTCTTATTCCCTCCACTTCATTAGTCTTCAGTTATCACTGTTTTATTTTCTCCACCTTTCATATCATTCTTTCCACCTATTCTTAATTCCTTAACGTCTTTTAGCTTTTCCAGTGCATCACTGTTCTCTCTCACTCTCATCCCTATTCTCATCCTATATTCTTATTTTTCTCTCTTTTTCACTCTAACTTTTCTATCTCATATATATTTTACTCTCTTTTTCCAGTGTTCTATAACAGTGACTTCCAATGTAAAATATGTATATTTATTCCATTAACAATTACTTTAATATATTATATTACATTATATTATGATATAGATACTATATTTTTCACGTGTAAACTTTTGTATATTAGACATAATAAAGTATATAAGAACATAAGAACATAAGAACGAAGGAACACTGCAGAAGGCCTACTGGCCCATGCGAGGCAGGTCCAAGTCCCTACCGGCTTAAGCCAATGCACCCAACCTAGTCAGGTCAGGTCACATTGACTTAAGGGAGGAACACGGCAACCGACCTGTTAGCACAAGCTATCAGGTCTAACTCACACCCACCCACATCTACTCATGTATTTATCCAACCTATTTTTAAAGCTACACAACGTTCTGGCCTCTATAACGGTACTTGGGAGTTTGTTCCACTCATCCACATATATTAATGACCAAGTTATCTTTATCTTGCCTTGTCTTTTTCCAGACGTATCAAATTACTGGGAAAAAAGAAGCAAGTAATATGAGAAATATCTTACATAAAATAAGAAAATAATTAATACGAGTTAGATTAATATCGCTATTATGCACCTAATACCCATCCTGTGAGTGGTAGTCAAAGGAATACAGAGGTTCATAATGGGTCCATTGGCTGTACCTCAACATTACAGAGGTACATAATGGGTCCAGGGACTATATGCAATAAAGGAGATGTGTTATTTTATTGCAAAAATTTACGATTCAATTGCGAATTCAAGTATTTTCAGACGAATCCCAATTTTTAGCTAAAATATGCTGATATGCTATTTGAAAAAATATGATTTAGTTTTCCCATGAAATACAATTGTAGGAGAAATCTTACAGAAAGAAAGTAAGAAATAAGAGAGAGATATCTTACAGAAACCTCTGAATAAATATCAACGCCACTCAGAAGAGAGGACCTGCTGACAAGCAGGTAAGTAGAGGCACCGGTGCCTCTCACATTCTGAGGGAAGCTGCAGCTGGTGTCACCCCTACGCTGCACTACTCTGAGAAAACTTTCCCTTATTTCTTCAGTTGCTGCTCGCACAACATCGTATAGCTCCTGATGATGCACCAAGAAGTGTGAAAGTACCTGAGCTAAAGATTTCTACCCCCCTATGGCTTGTCTTGCAGTTTGGTAAATGATTTAATACTTGTTTCATGGTCTCATTACTCTCTCTCTCTCTCTCTCTCGCTATATTATATATATATATATATATATATATATATATTATATATATATATATATATAATATATATATATATATATATATATATATATATATATATACATATATATATATTTATATATATATATATATATATATATATATATATATATATATATATATATATATATATATATATATATATATACACACACACACGCACATGCTACTGAAAATTTTATGCCTACTGGCTATAAAATTTTGGAAAGTTTTATCCTCAAATTTTTTTATATACTTCCGGCAAGTATAGGCTCAGATATATCACACTTTAAATTCCAGAGAGGCGATGCCTCTCTGGAATAATGAGGTGTCTTAAAAAAGTTCTCACTGTTTTTATGGTCTTACTTAGACACGTAAACCAAAAAAGGTCTCGGAAATGTATGAACCTTTGTCAAGGTTCATTTATAAACCTTAGTCGAGGTTCGGTTATGAACCTTAGTCGAGGTTCATTTATAAACCTTAGTCGAGGTTCATTTATGAACCTTAGTCGAGGTTCGGTTATGAACCTTAGTCGAGGTTTATTTATAAACCTTAGTCGAGGTTCATTTATGAACCTTAGTCGAGGTTCGGTTATGAACCTTAGTCGAGGTTTATTTATAAACCTTAGTCGAGGTTCATTTATAAACCTTAGTCGAGGTTCATTTATGAACCTTAGTCGAGGTTCATTTATGAACCTTAGTCGAGGTTCATTTATGAACCTTAGTCGAGGTTCATTTATGAACCTTAGTCGAGGTTCATTTATAAACCTTAGTCGAGGTTCGGTTATGAACCTTAGTCGAGGTTCATTTATAAACCTTAGTCGAGGTTCATTTATGAACCTTAGTCGAGGTTCGGTTATGAACCTTAGTCGAGGTTTATTTATAAACCTTAGTCGAGGTTCATTTATGAACCTTAGTCGAGGTTCATTTATGAACCTTAGTCGAGGTTCATTTATAAACCTTAGTCGAGGTTCATTTATGAACCTTAGTCGAGGTTCATTTATGAACCTTAGTCGAGGTTCATTTATGAACATTAGTCGAGGTTCATTTATGAACCTTAGTCGAGGTTCATTTATAAACCTTAGTCGAGGTTCATTCATGAACCTTTGTCGAGGTTCATTTATGAACCTTAGTCGAGGTTCATTCATGAACCTTGTCGAGGTTCATTTATGAACCTTAGTCAAGTTCATTTATAAACCTTAGTCGAGGTTCATTTATGAACCTTAGTCGAGGTTCATTTATGAACCTTCGTCGAGGTTCATTTATGAACCTTAGTCGAGGTTCATTTATGAACCTTAGTCGAGGTTCATTTATGAACATTAGTCGAGGTTCATTTATGAACCTTAGTCGAGGTTCATTTATAAACCTTAGTCGAGGTTCATTCATGAACCTTTGTCGAGGTTCATTTATGAATCTTAGTCAAGGTTCATTTATGAACCTTAGTCGAGGTTCATTCATAAACCTTTCTCGAGGTTCATTTATGAACCTTAGTCGAGGTTCATTTATGAACCTTAGTCGAGGTTCATTTATGAACCTTTGTCGAGGTTCATTTATGAACCTTAGTCGAGGTTCATTCGTGAACCTTTGTCGAGGTTCATTTATAAACCTTAGTCGAGGTTCATTCATGAACCTTTGTCGAGGTTCATTTATGAACCTTAGTCAAGGCTCATTTATGAACCTTAGTCGAGGTTCATTCATAAACCTTTCTCGAGGTTCATTTACGAACCTTAGTCGAGGTTCAATTATGAACCTTTGTCGAGGTTCTTTTATGAACCTTAGTCGAGGCTCATTTATGAACCTTTGTCGAGGTTCATTTATGAACCTTTGTCGAGGTTCATTTATGAACCTTAGTCGAGATTTATTTATGAACCTTAGCCAAGGTTCACTTATGAACCTAAGTCGAGGTTCATTCATGAACCTTAGTCGAGGTTCATTTATGAACCTTAGTCAAGGTTCATTTATGAATCTTAGTCGAGGTTCATTCATAAACCTTTGTCGAGGTTCATTTATGAACCTTAGTCGAGGTTCATTTATGAACCTTAGTCGAGGTCCATTTTTGAACCTTAGTCGAGGTTTATTTATGAACCTTTGTCGAGGTTCATTTATGAACCTTAGTCGAGGTTCATTTATGAACCTTAGTCGAGGTTTATTTATGGACCTTAGCCAAGGTTCACCTGTGAACCTAAGTCGAGGTTCATTCATGAACCTTAGTCGAGGTTCATTTATGAACCTTAGTCGAGGTTCATTTATGAACCTTAGTCGAGGTTCATTTATGAACTTTAGTCGAGGTTCATTCATGAACCTTAGTCGAGGTTTATTTGTGAACATTAGCCAAGGTTCATTTATGAACCTTAGTCGAGGTTCATTCATGAACCTTAGTGAAGGTTCAATTATGAACCTTAGTCGAGGTTCATTTATGAACCTTAGTCGATGTTCATAAATGAACCTTAGTCGAGGTTCATTTATAAACCTTAGTCGAGGATCATTTATGAACCTTAGTCGAGGTTCAGTTATAAACCTTAGTCGAGGTTCATTTATGAACCTTAGTCGATGTTCATAAATGAACCTTAGTAGAGGTTCATTTATAAACCTTAGTCGAGGTTTATTTATGAACCTTAGTCGAGGTTCATTTATGAACCTTAGTCGAGGTTCATTTATGAACCTTAGTCGAGGTTCATTTATGAACCTTAGTCGAGGTTCATTTATAAACTTTAGTCGAGGTTCATTTCATTTGTGAACCTTAGTCGAGGTTCATTTATAAACCTTAGTCGACGTTCATTTATATATGATTAAATGGTTGTGTCTGGGTTTGTATACTTTGAGAAACATACACTTGTCAGTGTATACACACTGAGAAGCGTATGTCTCTCATTGTATACATACAGAGATGTATGAGGTTTGATCCAAGGAAGATGAGGGGAGCAGTTTAGTTTCACTAGTAGCGAGCCTATCACTAGCTTCACTATTAAAGCTAGTGAAAGGAACAGCAATAGAATCCAGCTAGTTCTTGCAACAATGACGAGCGCAGTTGCAAATCTTTGATACTCGACAGCAAGGGCGGAGGAGCGGATCATATGATCTCAAGCTGCTGAGAGAACAACAGCAGCAGGAGCAGCAACAGAAGCAGGGTGCACAACAGCGGCAGCAGTAATAAAGGTAACAGCAGAAGAAGCAGCAGCTGAAGCAAACGACAGCAGCAGAAGCAGCAGCAATAGAGGCTGCAACAATAACAGCAGCATCAACAGAAATAGCAGGTACAGCATCAGCAGCTCTAATGGCAGCAGATACAGCAACAGCAACAACAGCGGCGGCAGCAACATAAACAGCAATAACAGCAACAACAGTCCAACAACTGAACTTAATACCTTGCAACGAGGTGCAGCCTCCTTGTATTATCTAAGGATATTCAATTAATCCTGGTAACACTTGTAAGTCCATCCCTCTGCAAGCCTAGTTACCAAACACTAATCTTCTAGGACAATACTTGTTACTCCATCGTATTACACCATCGTGTTACTCCATCGTATTACACAATCGTGTCACTCCATCGTATTACACCATCGTGTCACTCCATCATATTACACCATCGTGTCACTCCATCGTATTACACCATCGTGTCACTCCATCGTATTACACCATCGTGTTACTCCATCGTATTACACCATCGTGCCACTCCATCGTATTACACCATAGTGTCACTCCATCGTATTACACCATCGTGTCACTCCATCGTATTACACCATCGTGTCACTCCATCGTATTACACCATCGTGTCACTCCATCGTATTAC